AGTCATTCTAGCAAGTGGCGATTGTGTTGCAAGATGTCAAGAGGAGGTCTCTGTCTGGAGGCGCAGGTCGTCATTGATGTGTGAGATTGTGCTGTGGGTATGCTTGTGGTGTGTTGGCTTTTCTGTTTGTTTTCCATTTCAGCTCTGTCCGTGTGACCCAGGTTCTCGCAATGGCATCCAAGTCAACGTGCATTGGTCGTGAAGGAAAAAAGGGTTGGATCCCTTTTTTGCCGGGGAGTGTCAATGGAGTTGAAGATTGAACGATCAATTCTTGGTTGTTTGCTCAAAATCAACTTCCCCAATTTTCGCGGAGGCATCAATACGACAGTCATCGTCTCATCGGTCGCTGTTCAGAAAGAAGAGTGAAACATCGTCAGAAAATATTATGATTTATTATTGTAATATTTGTTTTCAGACCTTAGTTCGCTTATTCCTTTTATATGTTGGTGTAACAATAAACAAATCTCAAGCGGCAGATCGGTGTTTTGGTTTTTGCGTCCGTTATAACTAAGCGTTTCTGAAATCTTCGAAGAACAGCGTGGGCCCGAGCGTAGCGAGAGCTGGGCATTAACGGTTTATGAGACGTGATTGACATCTAGACTTCAGTCTCCTGTTAGTTATCGGATGTTTCAGAGCTCGAATGAGATACCGCGATCAGGTAGGGTCGCCCATATTAGATGTATGGTAAGGCTAATAAGTGACAATGGCGCCATATAGCGAAATGACAGAAGTCTCAATTCACCATGATTAGTTCCCAACAAGTGGTTGAGTGATACACTTCCTTGGATTGTGACCTAGAGGTCAGTTCGATCACCCCTGGGATGATCAGGTGTGTTGTTGACGAGTCCCAACTAGGACGAATCAAGTGTCCAGTGCTCCGCGTTTACTCTAGTTCCCTAATTGGCATCACCCCATAGCGTAACTTCTTTCCAAACAAGGGTACATTAACAACCAATCATTTGTTAATAAGTCAAGTAGCCTAGAGTTACTAATTTGCAGTTTTATCTTATGGATAGTGTTATCAGAAGGAAGACTTTCTGCTAAAAAATATCAAGTTTATTGAAGTAATACATTCGAAAACTGTGGCCACATTTTATTATCTTATCCCTTCACTTTCACAGCGGAGCATAGGGCTTCAAGCTTAGTGGTGGGAAGTTTCAGGTGCGGTGGTGATTGTTTTACGGGATGAGTTGTTAGCCTCATCTTCATTTCTCCTGCCTACCGGATAACTTACGGGCTAAGCGGGGTCTAGGGTGCGTCTGTGGCTGGAAATCGTACCACAGGCCACGGGAAGCGTGGTTGGTGACTGTTCTTCCACTGAGCCACTGGCCACATATATTATTGTTAAGTCAGTCTGCATGATCATGAACAATGGAAGGATAGTTAAAATAAGCCAGTAATATGAACGATAACCAACGCCCTGATAAGACAACTACCAAGGCAGGTTATGCATAACAGGAAACTATTTCTAGAGACTACAAGAGGATTAGTTTACGGATAACTTTAGCCTCAGTATTTTTCGGTGGTAGGATAGTGTGCGTCCAGTGCTGGCCGCATCAGGCTCTACTATCCCTTAGTTTACCTTGATTCCCTATCTGGCTTTGATTAGTGAAGTTCTTCTACTGAAAATAATTTTGACAGACTGAATTTGAATTGCGGTAATTCTGCATTGCGTGTTCATTATCATCACTTTTATTCTTCTGGATTTCTAGTGAAACATAACTCTTCAACACTATATTTTCGTTTCAAATTGTTCTCTGGAGTTCATTTTGATTGGTTCCATGACTGCCCATAAGCTTTCATCTCTTCCCTACATAGTCGTCTCCACGTAACTTTCAAGCTCCCAACTCGTTACCCCCATTCACATCCCACACAAGACTTTACCTAGCTCGTCATGTCTTCCGATAACCTCCTCAGTGTGTGTTTGATCCAACTCCGTTTCCCTCTACAATTTTGAAGGGTGATAATGGGTTTGAAATGCTTATGGTGACACAAGTCTACGAACCATATACCGGGAGCATTGATTTGACATTATTGTTGAAAATCCGAATATTGTTGGTTATCCCCAATCCGTTTCCATAATGATTCCAGAGAGACGGTTGTCTTAAATGCCATTTGCGGTTCCGTCTTTGACATCCTTATCGCCTCCCTCGTGATTGATTTTATTTCGCTCGCTGAAAATGGCGTGGCTGAGTCTTACATACCTATGTGTAGTCCAACTTCATTTTGAAAGAGAAGCTCACTCCTTATCCATTCAGCCATTTGAACAACTGCTTTGTGCTAATTGTAGCATTTTCTTCACACTCGTGATAAAGCATGAAGTGACAAGTGCTAAGCACTAAGAAGCGTCGGCAACAAAACGGCGGCTAGCCACGCCTTAAGTGGTCCGGGTCTCGATAACCGGGCGACGCACTCACAAACCTTCCCAGGGCGATAGTAAGGTCAGCGGAAAGGGAATGGTGAGTGTGGAGCTAGCAGCCCAGCCTCGTATAAATAAAAGCGGAACTTCGGAGCCCTAGAATGAATTCCTGTTTCCCACCCAGCACATAATGGAATATAAAAACACGATATGAAGGACTCAGATCACAATCTATTGTCACTTACACGAGACTAAGCTGCACTTCTTTGATAAATCCGACCTGTGTCAGTCATCTGTTGGCTGAAAGTTTATGTGAATAACTAAGTGAGCTTCAACACAGAACTTTGCACAGAAGTGCAGCAGCCTGAATCATTACACCCCAGACAAAGGGGAGAAAAATTTGATTCGAAAGTATTATCATAGGCATGAGTTCGAAGAAAGAATTGTGGCATGGAGTAAAACGAGGGTATAATAGCGGTGGCACACTACAAACTGAGAATTCATCCCTGACACTGAGGAAGATTTCGAACCATTACCCCCTATGGCCCCCAGCCATTTGTTCTCGGCATCCTGAGAACCCCAACTAGGTAGCGTACAACTATCTACGTAACCTTTAACATCTGTTTAAGGTCTTATGAAATAGAGCCAGGTTTTGGCTTGACCATCTGTAATTCTATTCTAATGTGATCCTGTCACTTGATATGGGTCGTTCAGGGAGATGATGGCTCGGAGTGCATTATTATTATTTATTCCTTCACGTTCCCAGTCAAACATAGGCTTCAAGCTAGTTGCTTGAAGTTTCTGTAGCTGTAGTGGTTATGTTTACAGCCTTGTGCCCAACCTTCCCTCATCACTGGTTTAGTGAGGCGAAAGAGTGCGTCGTCCGGGGATTGAACCCCGGAGCATGTGCATGGTTGGTGAGCGTCCTAACTACTGTGCCACCGACGCATATGGCTCGGAGTGTGCAACACGTGATCTAGCCATCTCAGTCGACTCACTCACAAAACCTCATCGATTAACTTTCCCTACCTACACAGTGCTCAGTGCCTAACCGCAGTATTACCCATAGAATTACACCACTCAACATGGGGGATAAAACAAAAACATCTGCGTTCAGGGATAGTCTGCCCCTTCTACTATCAAAAGTCCCGTCTAAAGCACATAAGGAGTACGAAGTGAATTGCTAAGCGGTGCCCACATCATTTGATCGACGGCCGGGCATCACGCCTACGCCAAAGATAGTGCAGGCTGGGAAATGCTACACGAGTCCCCTTGTATCTGTACTGAGGTTTCGTCGACTTTCAATTCGGTGAGCTTGATGTGACCTCTAAGTTGTTCTAGGCAATAATGAATCGCGATTTGTGAAATCGCCCACTTCGGCTACTCTGTAGCCACTCTTACACTCTCCCACGTACAGGTGAACCAAACAGGGTTTTTATTAACATGTTCAGACCTCACTTGGAGCTGTGCATAAACGTGTGCATGAAAGTGACTGAAACTTTTGGCTATTTTGTTACAGACTACAGTAATCTAAACTTCGATTCGCTTGTCGAAATGTCAAAACACTCCCCAATCCTGAGTATTTATGGTCGGGGAAAAGTGAGGGTGTATTAAATTGTCAAATGGTGTTTGCACACTCTACGGCCACTGAGAAGTTTTCCATTCACGAATGTGTTATATAACGGTCTGCACCGACCTATGGATTGGTGTCATTATATGAACATTGCCTATGCGTTTCATCTGTGAAGTAGGCTGTATTTCCAAATACCCAATAACCCAACTGGGGTGGTGGGTGTTTATGGGTTCCATTGGTTAGACTGCTTTCTTGATGACCAGAGTGAATATCCGCGAAAGGCAATCATCAGTAAACATGGTTTCCTAGACTTAGGAAATCTCGTATATTTCTCAGTTACTTAAATAAATTTTGGTGACGTTCATCCCCAAACGCTGATTGTGCGAAGTTTGGAAAACGTAAGGTTTATTCGCCTTGTCAACATCTATTTGATGCTGCAACTACCATCCTTCTGGTGTTTCCTCCAGGCAGATAGCTACATTTGTCTAAAGTGCCAAGACAACACAGTAAAACGATGTCAGTTTATGTATGTTACCTAATATATATGTCTTGAGAGACAGCGTTGTAGCACAAAGGCACTTTCAAGCCCTGTCATTCCTAATAGACTCATGAAATGTGGTGACTCATAAAGACACAACTTCTCCGGGATCAACTTTCTAAAATGACCTTTAGATATGACCTATAATACACTTTTGGTGACAAGTGAAGTAACCTACGCAAAGAACAAATCTATACATAACATTGAGTGAAACCACATAGTTTCCCCCATATACCTCTTCAGATATGTGTTAGGTACTTTTCACAATTTCAACAAAGTTTCATAAGTAGCCAGTTTTACCTTCATTGTTCCTCGAGTTGGATTTTATTTCTTCGAACGTAGACTTAGTCTAAATGATAAATTAGAAAATATTTGGGCAACTTTGTTGTTTAGCATTGTAAGTTTATTTTTCCAGGCGAAACACTAAAATCAAGCAGATCTACTTCTCATCGATTTCGAAAGTGAAATTGAACATTGTTTAAACTTGTGTTGTCATAGTTAATTTTGGAGGGTATTTAACTTTGCAAAATATGTCGACTTTAACTAAGCCTTCCATAAAATATCAACCTCCGGACTGGTTCACAAACTCATTCGCCATAAGTGCTAATTCTCAACGTCAGAGAGAAGCTTCAGAACAAATTCGTCAAGAAACGCGTTCTCTGCGACTTGCTGCCGCCCTGAGAACGAAATGGGATGAATTTAATAATACCACTAGATTGGCAGATCGAATAGATGCTATCAAAGACTTTAGGGATATTTTGGAACTTGCCCACTTACAGTTGGATGAAGAAATATCAATGGTTAACTTAGGCAAAGATGCACTCGAGGAGCAAATGAAAAATATAATAACCCCGAAAGAATGTGTTACAGAATGCCTAGCTCTCCGAGACAGACGTAAAAGAATAGATTATGTTGAAGATGCACCAGAAGCTCAATTGAAAAAAGTCAGGATGGGTTTTTACGTAATTTCTTTATAGGAAAAGGAGTTGATTGACAAATCTCATAAAAGGCTTCAACAGAAGGTGGATGAAGCATTTGAACAAATGCTCCTTTTAAAGGAAGCCAGGGGTCAAGTTCTATTGGATTTACAAGACAAACATGCTGCCATGGACATTGATATTCAGCAGTATAAACTGAAGCCCACCTGTCCAGGTGTTTCTTTCAAGCCAAACCCAACACGAATTCCTAAAGGGTGAGGATACAGCATGATTCATGTTTTTATAAAAGGTTTTATTATCAACACTACTTTTAGTTCTTTGAATTACACTTTGTAAATGAGTATAAATAGCCATAGAGTAGTGTTATTATCTATCATTTTGCAAAATTCACTTCATTTCTTCACACCTCATGATAATATTGAGTTTTTAGTTTGCATTGCCTGTGAATATGGAAATTGTAGGCTATTGTACAAAGCTGATTCATGTCTAGAGGCGACATCATGAGTTACCTACCCATCTTTAAAAGATTTTTAAAGTTCTGTCTGTAACGAGAATTTCGGTTGTTAAAATGATAGATTAAGACTTTAAGTGACACAATCCAAAACAATCCACAATTAATGAAATTTAATTACTGTCTTTACTGGAGAAATTAGTGAATGTTTTACTATTTGGCTATTCTTCATCACTATCACCCTCATATGTGTTCAAAAAAGTAATATCTATTCTCTCCGTCTTCTTTGTTTACATTTGAGAAACCCTAAATGCCTCCTTTGAATTAGTTCATCTGTTTATGTGAAGTTATTTGGTAGACTTATAAGTGAATAATCGCTTTTTTATTGTTGGCTGATTTTATTACCTAAGCTCTAAATTCATACTACAAAGTCTCCGGCTGTATACAGTTACATTTCTATTCAATCTGTTTTCATTGCTTAGTGTGGATATTTGAAGCAGTTAAAAGTTATACCACTTAGAATGTAAGCCTAGTCTAGTGAAAATCTATGCTTTCTCATTATTCTACCACAGTATTTTCAGATTTTATTATGCTGCAAACAAGTCGTCATCAGTGTTTGACTGTCTTTGTTCCCCAAGAGCCCTCGTTTTAGTAGAGAGAACAATATCCGAGATTCGATTAATACTGAGGTATACTTTCTAAGGTATACGTTATATGTGAGTGTAGCATCAATTTCAGAGTCTTGAATGTTATTACTTTTTCTTTGATTATTATTTCTGCCACGTACATCTTGCTGTGGTGTCAGTTCATCTTTTTGTATGACCTACCAAATATGAATACGAGAACATATTCCAGCTTGGTTTTACAAGGGAGAAAGAAAGTGGGTGCGAAGCTCTATTCTAGAACTCTTGATCGACTCATTTCACTCTGCCAACCCTGATCATGATTTTATGTACATCTTTCGAATCCGTGCTCGCTTGCTAGCCGCGTTTTCTTCGTTACAGACTTCTAAAGACAGCTGAGGCCTTGGCAACTCATGACCTTAAGGCAGACCTTTTTGTAGGAAAGGAGTATGTACAATCCCTGTTTCTGACTTGGTCGTAGAGGGATAGACATTTATTTATTTTTTGTTTATTTAGTTAATCTATGTGCGCTTCTCTTATTAACTCATGGAAAATCCTCATTGTAACATATAGAAAATCAAAACAAGTGATCCAGCGAAGAGACACTTTTCAACAACGAATTTATCATCAAGCTGTACAGTCGTATATAATGGTTTATCAGAAGTTATATCCGGTGAGGGAATTGAATCTTAGGTGTGAATGCATAAAATAATAACAATAGTAGCATGAAATGCAATTAAAATGTTTGTGATTATAATCATAGTTAAATGTCAAGTGGCAAAGCAAATTAATGTCATATATCGAATAATTAATAGGATGGATAGAACTTGAAAAAGGATGTGCAATTATAGGATTAGTAGACAAATGAATAGTACAAAAACGTTGCGTAATATTGTGTGAAATTTAATAGCGTAGAATTTATCGTTGTAAAAAAATTGATTTAGAATGACAAGTGGAACAAGTGAAATAATACCTGTGACAGTTCAAAGTGAGAATAGTAATAATAAATCAATTGACTTAATAAGGAAATATATACAAATTGAAATGTGTCTGGATCGCCCTATCATCCAGTAGCTGGGTGGTTAGCTAAAATCCTCGAACCTGTCAGGGGGCAACTATCTAATCATTCCCTTCGGGACACCTTCCAATTTGTTGAATGTATACAGGATATAAATGCGTCGAATAAACAAATGTAGAATCCCTATTTACGAACGTTCCACTGACAGAGACCATGTGTTTTATATGCAAATATATTGAAGACAACAAATTGAATATATGGATACCCAGATCTACTTTTGAGATGTACATTGAATGTACAGTTTACTTTCAATGAAACAGTCTACAGACAGAAGGATGGTATTGCGATGGGTTCTCCCTTGGGTCCTCTCCTTGCAGACGTTTTTATGTCCAGTCTAGAGAATGGTTCCCTGAAGCCTATAATCCAAAGCTTTCAAATGTATAAAAGGTATGTAGATGACATCTTTATTATTTGTAATATTGATTGTAACCTGAATAATGTATAAAATGTATTTAATGAGTGCCTTCCTGCGATAAAATTCACACTCGAAATGGAGAACGAGTCTAGCATTCATTTCCTCGATGTGAACTTATCAAGAAGGACCGATGGAACTCTGAAGAGATCGATTTATCGTAAGCTGTTATGGAATGGTCAACTGACAAATTTCTACAGCTGGGTATCCATTGGTCGAAAACGAAACCTGGTCCGGTCGCTTGCCACTCGTATCCGTCGCATATGTAGCACTGATACTGTGGAAGACGAGTTATACATTTTGAGGAAAATCCTAATAGAAAATGGATTTCCACCACGTTTTATAGATAAAAATATACATTCAAATCCTATAAAACATGACCTATCAACCGTCCCAGGAAAATACTTTACATGAGCTTAGAATTCAAAGGGGACTTAGCTTCCGATATCATGAAACGAAGGATATCACAGTCCCTGAAAAGAACATTCCCTGCTGCCTCTCTGAGAATAGCTTTTACTAGCCGACCATTATTGTTCAATAACCTGAAGGACAAGATCCCACTGTTGACCAACTCTATGTGCGTTGATCAATTCACCTGCTCTTGTGGAGTTAGGTATATCGGCCGTTCTACTCGAGTTTTGTCCAAGAGGGTGCAAGAACACTATCCTGCATGGCTACGAAAAGGTGGAAGTGGAGCAATAAGAAGCGCGATCATTGAACATCTGGTCGATAATGATCACCCTCTCTCTATAGCCTCCGCCTTTAAAGTCATCTACAAGGCAAAGAGTAATTTACCCAAATCCCTACGTACCCGACTCATCTGTATTGCTGAAGCTTTGGCTATCGAAACAGAAAAGCCAGATCTCTGTGTACAGAAAAAGTTCGTTCAACCCCTCCAACTTTCATGGTCCTAATCCCTCTATGCTAAAATATGGTTATCCCCAATCATATTTTATCTCTACCAATTTTTCATTTTGTCTATTCAATTTGTATACGCTTCCTTTATTATGTCAGTTGCTACCATTACCATTTCCACTTTGAACTGTCTACAGCATTATTTTACGTGTTCCACTAGTCATTCTAAATCAATTCTTTTTTACAACGATAAATTCTATGCTATTAAATTTCACACAATATTACGTAACGTTTTTGTTTTATTCGATTTGTCTACTAATCCTATAATTGCACATCCTTTTTCAAGTTCTATCCATCCTATGAATTATTCTATATATGACATTAATTTGTTTTGCCACTTGACATTTAACTATGATTATAATCACAAACATTTTAGTTTTAATTGAACTTCATATGATTATTATTATTATTTTATGCATTCACACCTAAGATTCAATTCCCTCACCGGATATAACTTCTGATAAACCATATATATACGACTGTACAGCTTGATGATAAATTCGTTGTTGAAAAGAGTCTCTTCGCTGGATCACTTGTTATGATTTTCTCTTATTACTACGATTATTTTTATTGTCATTACTATACCCACTCTGAATTGTTTCTGCTTGTCCCACTTGTCATTCTAAATCGGAAATTATTATTTCCGCAGTATTGAATTCTATCTCATCAAATTTCCCACCATCATATTATGTGATATTTCATTTTCGCCTACTAATACTATAATTATACACACCTTTCCAACATTTATACACCTTATGTATTATTCCATATATGAAATTAATTATTTTCGTGCATTTGGTTCCCTTGATAAATTTTGATATAGAAAGAAAGACCAAATTTGCAGTATATAGTAAGATCATTCTGTTTCACAGGTTCTCATCAGCTGCACGCGAATACCTGAAATTACAATGGTTATAAATAATAACATTTCATACTTCATTGTTTGAAAGGTAATAGAGAAAGCACTATAAGGTGAACCCATCTGGAATATAAGTATTATAGTCTAAGTCGCCATCAATTTATATACTGTCAAACATGGCATCAATCCATGAAATCCTTGACAGTTAAACTGAGTCGGTCAGGTAGAGAGATGCAGACTCCCGGGTTGGGGTCCTCGGGACTCTGGGAATCAATGGCTGGAGACAATAGGTGACATGGCTCAAAATCGTTGTCAATGGTCAGCGCAGATGTATTCAGTCTCTGTAATCTTTCATATTCCTTTCTACCATTACCCATTCTGTTTCACTCCTATACTTGTCAAACTCTATTGATTCTCTTCACTCATCTTCTTGTCTAACTTTGTGTGCTATTTGGAACGTGGCAACTCGAACTGGTGCACTTGGGTGCCAAGTTCTATGTTGAATCCAGACAGACAGACTTTCAAACTGTGAAAACAGAAAAAAGGGGGTTTAGACAAGACAGAAAACAGAAAAATCTAATAAACAGTGTCAACATGGCAACTCAACAAGATCAAGGTTCATCAATTTGAAAACTTGCTTAGTGAGTTGAGCTCACTAGTGTGTATGACTAATCAGTGTAATGCAAGCGATATGGTTACCAAGGGAGTGAAAGATTGACCACACTCTCCGTCTGTCTGTGTGCATAAGTTTGATCTGTGACGTTTGACATTTAACTATGATTATATAATCACAAATATTTTCATTGCATTTCATACTACTATTATTATTTCATGTATTCACACCTTTGACCTAACTCCATCACCGGATATAATTTCTGTAAAAAAACCATATATATACAGTTGCACAACTGATAAGAAATTGGTTGTTGAAAAGGGTCTATTTGCTGAATATTGTGTCGTTAATATTTTTATCCACAATTCTTCATCAACTTGTCAAGTCGTTTGATATTTCTTCATTTTAGTGTAATGAATTCATGTATTAAATCATAACAAATCGACTGTGTGATATGAAAACACTATTTTTAAATATATAAGTAAGACGTACAGGATTGGAGAAGTGAAAAAAGTCTTAACAATAGAGTGAGAAGCTTTTCAATGAAGTACTGGTTATAAATGTTGAGATGAGCGAGGTAATTTCGATTATGATGGAGAAGATTTGTAGCTCAGGTGGATGATTTTGATGTAGTTGCATTCTGTCTAATGAAAGCTTAGTAAAGAAACTATTCAGCTCACACACAAACTAACAAAATCACTTCACTCAGCCAGGCAGGCAGCCAGCCAGCCCAGTGTCAATCAATCAAAAGACTCAACAATGAAAGAAGATAAAAACCAACATCATCTACAAAATAAATTGTAACAACTGCGGAAAACACTATATTGGCCAAAGTGGACAACGTCCCCTTCGTCTTCTTCGTATCCAGAAACATAAGCTAGCCGTCACAAGGGATAACAACCACGCCCTCATATTGCTACATAGAAACAATCATGAACATCAGTCCGACCAGAACAACAAACATTCAAATATTAGACAGAGAGAACACTAAAAATGCTAGAGAAGTTCCGGAAGCCTGATATTCCAGTGAATTGTCAATCAATAGACACATCGACATAGAAAGAAAATTTACCAACCGATAAGAAGGGTGAAACAATCCAATACAAGTAGCCTAGAGGGTGTGAAAACACACAAAGACAACCAATCACGTTCAATGTCATCCAACAGGAGAGATGACTAATGGTGAACTTGTGGATACATCCAAAAGTTCCCTTCAACAAAATGGACGTATGCGCTGAAGATGTTGCCTAGCGGTGGGGCAATGAAAGCTTCGCAAACAAACTATCCAGCTCAAAGAAAACAACTACATCAAAATAATTTTTCATTAATTTAAGCGGTGAAAAGTACTCCATGCTATAACTCACTGAGGTCAGCACATCTATACAATCTACACTTAAGTTCTGATTATATGAAGGAAACTTTTTCTTAGTGGTGCAGATGCATCCATCCTTTGTAATCCCCCCCAAGGCTTTAAGACTTCGTGTGTCTTCATTTTACTACTTTATCCACGATATATTTCTTCTTATTATAGCTTTCTTCAATATCTTTTTTCCCCTCTTTACTCTGATATTTTGATGTGGTTTTGTTCTCTGAGCTAGATGGTTAGTTTGCGAAGCTTTCATCACCCTACTCGGTGACATCTTCAGCGCATACTTCAATCTGTTGAAGTGAGCTTTTAGATTTCTCCACGAGTTTATTAATCATCTCACCTGGTCGGTGAACTTGGACGTGATTGGCTGTTTGTGTTTGTTTTCACACCTTCTAGGTTACTTGTATTGGAACCGGTTGTTTCTTTGACTTGACCCTTTGTGTGTGTGAAGTTTCTTTCTTATCAGTTGATAAATTTTGTCTATCTCGCTGTGTCTATTGATTGATGATTCACTGAAATACCAAGCTTCTAAAAATTCTCTAGCATTCTTGTTGTTTCCTCTGTCTAATATTTGAACGTTGTCCCAGTCGAATTGATGTCCGTAGTTGTCTCTATATAGTGATATGAGGGAGTGGATATCATGTCTTTTGACGGCTAGCTTATGTTCGTGGATACGAAGACGAAGGGGACGTCCACTTTGGCCGATGTAGTGTTTTTCTCAGTTGTTACAATTTATTTTGTAGATGATGTTGGTTTTGTCTTCTTTCGCTGTTGAGTCTTTTGGTTGACATAGAATTGAGTGCAGCGACTTTGTTGGTTTGTGTACGACGTCAATTCCTAGAGGTTTGAAGAGTCTTGTAGTGATTTCTGAGATATCTTTTATATATGGTAAGGCAATTTTCTTTGTGCTTTCCTTGGTGGCTTTTGTTTTGGTAGGTTGGCTTGGGGGTATATGTCTCTTGATGAAATTCCGTGGATATCCATTCTTTTGGAAGACATCCATGAGGTGTGAAAACACACACAAACAGCCAATCACGTCCAAGTTCACCAGGTGAGATGAATAATAAACTCGTGGAGAAATCTAAAAGTTCACTTCAACAGATTGAAGTATGCGCTGAAGATGTCACCCAGTAAGGTGATGAAAGCTTCGCAAACTAACCATCCAGCTCAGAGAACAAAACCACATCAAAATCATCCATCGGAGCTACAAATCTTCTCTATCATTCTCTGATATTCTAGTTTGATTACTAAAGTGAATATAACCATTATAAAACCACTTTATAATGAAGTAATTTTTTTGAAATCCTTGTCTTTTTTTTCTCCTCAAACCACCCCCCGCCCCAACAGAACAACTACACCACAACAATGGGAAGAATTTACAAGATATAACTGGCAAAGAGCTCAAGCAGAAATTCGTGCTGGCCAAAGACTACGGGAAGCAATATTTCAAATGTTATGTCAAGTATCCAATGATTTAGAAGCTCAAGCACAAGCAACAGAATTTGCTCTTAGACAAAGGAAACATGATATGGAACAAGCATTAGATGAATTAAAATGGCAAAAGAAACAGGTAATTCACATTGTTTATATATCTGCTTATTTTATGTAGATGACAAAGAAATTGAAAGATTTCAGATTTATTGGTTGAGGATAGAAGGATTGGAGTCTATGTTAATCATTTTCCAGTAAATTTTTTGTGCTTGTCCAAACCCTTCTTGAATGAATCAGTTAAAGTTGCAGATACACCATTTCTTCTGGGAGTCGGTTCCAAGAGTCTGTGACTCGATGTGAGAACCAGTACTCGACAGCAGTATGATTTCTTGTTGGCTTTTGAACTCTCCTGCTATGTCCTCTTAGGTGTTCTGACCTGGTGGGAAGGAAAAGAGAGAATAGGTCAGGCTTTGAAATAATATAAAAGATTTGTAACTCAGGTGGATGATTTGGAATTATTAGTGTTCTCTGAGCTGGTTGGTTTAGTTGCGGAGCTTTCATGGAGATTGTAAATCATTTGACTTTATGCTAAATAGTGCGCTGAAGATGTCGTCCAGAAAGACGACGAAAGCTCCGCAACTAAACCAACCAGCTCAGAGAACATTAATAATTGCAAATAGGTCAGGTTCGTAGTCATTATTTAAAATTTTAAACATTCTAATTAAATCTCCTCTCTGCCTACAGTATGACAAGGAGAAGAGATTTAAACTGTCTAGTCTTTCCTCGTATGATAAGTTAGTCATACCGTGAACCATACGTGTTGCCTTCTTTGAACCTTTTCTAGAATGTGTGAATCCTCTTTTAGATACAGTTTTCCAGTCGTGATCTCACAAGAGATGTATAAAAGCAAGTGAATATATCTCTGGTGATTCTCGTAAAGGCTCCTCGAATTTCCCACAAGAACCTGAAACCACATGCAGCCACCGCTTGACAGTGTGCTGTAGTTTTTAAGTCGTGGCTAACTAAGACACCTAAGTCCAAGTGAGTCTGAACTGATGGAAGTGTTATTCCCCATAGTTCATAGGAGCTGGCGCTTGCTTGTCCAACGCGCATGGTTGGACATTTTGCCACATTGATCGTAAGCATCCATTCTATGGACCACTCTGACAATTTGTTGAGGTCCTCTTGCAAAGTGGACGTGTCACTAATGTTCTTCAGCTCTCTCCAAAGTTTTAAGTCATCTGCGTATAGGACCCTAGGGCAGTCGGTGAGCAGAGGTAACTCATTGATTTACAAAATAAATAGGAGAGGTCCGAGTACCGTGCCTTGTGGCACTCCACTACGTACTGGTGTCCAAGAGGAGAGTTTCGAGTTGATCCTAACCCTCTGCCTCCTAACTATGAGGAATTACCTGAGCCAGTTTAGTATGTGCCTCTGATACCCAAGACTTTCCAACTTCATGAATAGTTTTTTGTGAAGTAATTTATCAAAGGCTTTGCTGAAGTCTATGAAGACGACGTCTACAGGTCTTCTGTTGTCCTTTGATTTGACCCAGCTTTCTCTTGCAATGAGTAGATTTAACAGGCATGAGAGGTTCCTCCGGAAGCCATGCTGTGCTCTGGATAACAAGCTGCTGTTTTCTAGATATGGCGTGATGCTTTTTTGATGAATCTTTCCAGTGTCTGGATTAAAGTGCTGGTGAGAATGACAGGCGTGTAATTCGAAGGGCTTTGTCTTGATCCTCCTTTGGGATGGGGGTTACTATGGCGTATTTCAGTCACGCGGTAACACTCCATTTAGGAATGATAGCTTGAAGACAGTGGTCAAAGGGCCGGCTATGTGAGCTGAGAGGCTACAATATCTCAAAACAGAATTATTAGACAATTTATTAACAGCCTTTAGAGGCTGACGGGATTGATGTTCACGGATAGTACGAAGTATAGTATACTAACGAAAGATCTAGTACCCACAACTTCTATAGTATTCGTTCCGCGTAGACCAAAGGCAAAGCAAAACACAAGAATTGATCGTCAAGATTACGAGGTATATTTCGGGACCAAATTGGAGTGCGAGATGATTGCTTAACTAGCTAGGGATCGTGCACGAACGAACATGACACGACGGAGTACCAAATGGCGTGGATGCTTGACCGGAAGCCTTCAGCTAAACAAATTGACATATCCAGTGAGGGTCAGCATCCAATGTTCAGTGTGATGAATACTATGGCCAATAATTTTAGGGAATTATTTACCGCCACGGGAAACTTACGGAAGCCTTCGAAGTGAGGACGGGAGTGAGACAAGGCTGCCTACTATCACCAATGATCTTCCTGATTGCAGTAGATTGGATAATGCGACAGACAACGGCAACCAACGAGGGAACAGGCATAAAATGGACTCACACAAAACAAGAACTTGGAGGATCTGGACTTCGCCGATGATATATGTCTGATTTCCACCAACTGGAAGATATGCAAGTGAAAAGCAACAAGCTGGCAGAAGAAGCACCAAAGATAGGACTTCAAGTGAACATAGATAAAACAGAGGTGATGAAGATTCCTGGCCAACATCAACAGAAACAACAACAACAGACAACAATCAGCCAGCATAAATGGGAGGAACCTGAAAGAAACAACCTCCTTCACCCACCTACCTGGGAAGCATCGTTTCAACTACAGGCAGAACTGACGAGGATATCAAAGCCAGAATCGGAAAAGCAAGACAAGCTTTAATTACTCTTAATTCTGTGTGGAGCTTAAGAGCACTCAGCATCAAAATGAAAATAAGATACGGATTTTCAACTCCAATATGAAGTCAGTGCTACTCACTATGTGGATCAGAGACTTGGCCAGCGCGTCATAAAGAGCATCTCAAACAAACTTCAGACGTTCATTAACAGTTGTCTTTGCTCAATACTCAAGATCAGATGGCCGGCCAGAAAAGATCAGCAACAGGGATCTCTGGCAATGAGCGAACCAACCAAGCAGGACCCGATTGTGAAACAAATAAGCTGGAAGAAATGGAGATGGATTGGCCATACACTGAGGAAACCATCAAGTGAGTGACATCACTAGGCAAGCGATTGCTCGAGTGGAGCCTGAAAGGGAAGAGGGTGGCGAGTCGGTCGTCAGTGCAAGGGTGACTCGGAGGAGGTGATGTGAAGAAGAGGTGAAAGCATGTGGGCAGACTTGGGGCGGGGAGAAAGAGTTGGCAGAAAACAGAAGGCAATGGAGGTGCGCAGCTGAAGCCCTATGTTCCTCTAGGAACTAAAGGATACAATAATAATAATAATTTACCGCCACAGGCTACTGCAATTATTTTGAAGTTTTGGCTAACGTATTTTGTCAAGCTAAACTATTTACCACATTTTATAAAGTTAGATAAATGGCAACGCCCAACTTACTACTTTGGGAGCGTCTCCTGCTAATGACTTCTAGGACTGGCAGGATGATACAATATTTGGGTGTCAGCTGAAATGAAAATACTAACCGCTAAATGACAAACAAACAAATGTAGTAGAATTGTTCATTATTAGGATTAGAATTACCCAGCTGTCACAGTTTGCACGTCAAATATCAGGAACTTCATAATGGATAGGATTTTATTTTGGCACAGTCACACAGTGTTATGCCGTTGTAGTATTAACTGATGACCACCTCTCGAGCACAAACTATTATTGCCACTCATAATCATATCAAGGCACTACTCTCATAACTTTCTTGCTTCATTTATATACATGAGTGAAACTGATGATTAGATATTTGAATAAAAATCAACATAAGATAAAGTACGTTTAGAAAGAGAGAGATTGATTACTGAATCCTACCTGGATCATCGAGTCTACACCCACCGCAAAATATGCAACAGAAATGACTCAATGCAAATACCAGAGATATGTATGGAAGATATTATTACCACCAGTCAGTCAGTCAAATCACAGGAGGATAATAAATAATCATAAAATTCTATTTCAATTCAATTCACATACACATTCTAACAAGTTATTTACTTATTTTGACTATAAAAACACTCGTCTTATTTCCCATGTGATTCGGAAGACTTCGAAGTGAGGACGGGAGTGAGGCAAGTCTGTCTACTATCGCTAGTGATTTTCCTGATTGCAGTAGATTGGATAGGGTGACAGATAACGGGCAATGAATAAACAGGCATAAATTGGGCTCACACAAAATCAACTTGGAGGATCTGGACTACGCCGATGATATATGTCTGATTTCCCACAAACTGGAAGATATACAAGTGAAAAGCAACAAGTTGGCAGAAGAAGCATCAAAGATAGGACTTCAGGTGAACATGGATAAAACAGAGGTGATGAAGATTCCTGGCCAACATCAACAGCAACAACAACAAAAGACAACAATCAGCCGGCATAAATGGGAGTAACCTGAAAGAAACAAACTCCTTCACCTACCTGGGAAGCATCGTTTCAACTACAGGCCGAACTGACGAGGATATCAAAGCCAGAATCGGAAAAGGAATACAAGCTTTCATTACTCTTAATTCTGTGTGGAGCTTAACAGCATTCAGCATCAAAAATAAGATACGGATTTTCAAATCCAAAGTGAAGTCAGTGCTACTGTACGGATCAGAGACTTGGCCAGTCATAAAGAGCATCTCCAACAAACTACAGACGTTCATTAACAGTTGTCTTCGCTCAATACTCAAGATCAGATGGCTGGCCAGAAAAGATCAGCAACAGGGATCTCTGGCAATGAGCAAACCAACCAGGGATCGGTTGTGCAACAAATAGGCGGGAAGAAATGGAGATGGATTGGCCATACTCTGAGAAAACCATCAAATGACATCACTATACAAGCCACGGCTCGATTAGAACCCGAAAGGGAAGCGGCGAGTTGGTCGTCCGAGAAAAGGTGACTTGGAGGAGGTCATGTGAGGAGGAGATGAAAGCATGTGGGGAGATTTGGAGCGGAGTGAAAAAGCTGGCAGAAAACCGAAGGCAATGGAGGTGCAAAGCTGAGGCCCTATGTTCCTCTAGGAATTAAAGGATATAATAATAATAAGATTGCCAGCCAGAACATACGAATTTAGCTAAGGTTAGAATGGTTGATTTCAGGAAGATAAATAATTTAGAAAGAAACTCAGGAATTGCACTCCATGCATT